TCTCTGATGGCTCCTCTTGGTCTTTTTCTCCTCACGATGGTCCACACACACAGGCCCATGCCAGTCCTTAACTCTCCTCAATCTCTCTCTCTGACAGCTCCTCTTTTTTCCCCAAGACCGCCGGCTCACCTCGCTCTGTCCCCCTCCCCCGAGCCGAGTTGGCGGTCTCTCCTCACTCACTCACGCCCGTCTCTCCCCTCCGCAGTCGCACACTGTGCCTCCTCCCGGCAGATCATCTCCCACTGGAAGAACTGCACGCGGCACGACTGTCCGGTGTGCCTGCCGCTGAAGAACGCAGGAGACAAGCGGAACCAGCAGTGTGAGTGTCTCTCTCTCTCTCTCGGCCTGCCTGCCCTGTGTTTCCTCGTGCCGTTGATCGGCCGGGCAGGCGCCCTTATCCGGCCCAAGCTGCGCGCCCGGCACCGGTGCGGCTCGGGCGAGCACGGAGGTGATCCGGCAGCGGGGCGGGGGCTTCTGCTTCTGGCCGGTCCGCTCTGTGGTCCTGAGGGAGCCCAGCGTGTCCGTGGGTTGTGGCGGCGCGCCGGTTCTCCGCAGTGGCGTGCGTGTGCCCGCTGTGGGGGTGTTTGTACCTTTTTTGGGGGCTGAATTATAACCACCCCAGCTTTAACGGCCCCGGTGAAAGTCCCCTGTTCCGGTCTTGGTGGTTATCATCTCTTTGTGACCTGTTTTTACACCTCCTGCACAAATATAGGCTAGCTCTCTCCCCCCAGCAGCCGACTTCAGGCTGATTGAAATAGGCCGTTTTCAGGTGTCAGATTTTATTTTTTTAGGCAGTAGTCAACGTAGAACTTGGTGTATGTGGTCGTACAGCAGCACAAGTGAAATACGTGTGTGTGTGTGAGTGTGTGTGTGTTTCGGTCACTTTGTCACTCAGTCGCACGTGCGGCCAGTCTGTCTCTGTATGAACGCCAGTCGTTTTCTCCCTGTCGGCCTCTGCGCTGGGCTACAGGGCCCCAGGACCACAGGACTGACCCCCCCCTCTCTCCCTCCCCAGCTCTCTTGGGCGGGGCAGGAGTTGGCCTGGGCAGCGCCCTGGGCTCGGTGTCTGGGGGCCAGCAGTCGGCGCCCAGCCTGAACCCGCCGAGCCAGATCGACCCCAGCTCCATCGAGAGGGCCTACGCCGCCCTGGGCCTCACCTACCAGGGCACCCAGATCCAGCCGCCACCCCCCCAGGCGCAGCTGCCCTCGCAGGGCATGCAGGGGCAGCCCGGGATGAGGCCCCTCAACACGATGGGTGAGTCCCTTGGCGTTGTCCCTGCCGATGGGGACGAGAGCAGGACGCTGGGCAGGTAGATTAATACATGAATGCACAGCGGGCAGCAGGTATGTGCCACCCACCTGTACCCAGGCAGTGGGTGTTGAAAGGTGAGGCACAGGACAGCAGAGGAGACCTGGAAGGCTCAGTGCAGAGCAGACTAATATTGTTATTCATAACAATAGCTTACACTTATAACTTTTACTTATGTATACACTTAACCTGCTTTCTGGACACACCACTGAAAGCCCTGTACCTGTAACAGAGACTCTACTCTGTACCCCCACCTGGATGATGCTCCAGTCCTCTCTCCACACACCAGCTCTCAGTGGGGAGGAGAGCAGAGTGATGGAGCCAGTTCAGAGAGGGGGGTTATTAGGAGGTCATAACTGGTAAAGGCCAGGAGGGTACATTGGCCAGGACACTGTGGTTACACCCCTACTCTTTTCAGGAAATGCCCTGGGATTTTTAATGGCCACAGAGAGTCGGGACCTCGGTTTTACACCTCCCCTGAAGACTTGTTTAATAATTTCAGCGTTCAGGACCAAGTTTAATGTCCAAGATGCCACCTCCCTCGTTTTATGGCGAACTGTCACGTTAAATGCCAGAAGGTTTTCATATGCCATCTCTGGGACATTTTGACTAGCATTAAAGTCCTTGAGTCTTTGAATTAAAAACAGCCTCTGACTGCCTTTCTTACAGATGTTGTCTATAGTCTCACTGTGACCCAGCCTCTGATCACTACGTGCTCCCAGATACTTAAAACTCTCCACAGCCTCTACAGACTGACCCTTGAGGACTGTTGTCTGCAGGGAGTGCCCTTCGTCAGTTTTAGCATTGGAAAGGAGGGAGTCGGGCGAAGAGGGGCGATGGTGGTGACGGTGGCGATTGCCTCTCACGCCCTCTCATGTCCTCTCTTTCTCTCCTCAGGGGGGAACGCTATGGGGGTGAACGGGGGTGTCGGGGTCCAGCCCCCCAACCAGCAGTCCAGCCTGTTGCAGGACGCCATGCTGCACCCCAACATGAACTCGCAAAAGTAAGTGTGGAAGAACTCACGGCCGATCCTCCCGAAGATCCCTCTCCTCCCTCCTCTTGGCTTTGACATGCCTGTGGGACGTGACGTCCAGACGGCGGTTCGCCAGGAACTGCTGCTGAGCTCCTCAAGGGGTTATTCTTATAGCTCGGGGCTGGAAGGAGAGCGTTTCAGACCGCGAAGACCGTAGAATCCACACAGTAACTTGTAAAAACCTCCGACTGACACCGCAACGCAGACTTTCCGGGTCTGCGCAGCGCCACGTTCTGCGCTTCAGAGCGGGCAACAACACTTGCCGGTGCGGGGAAGCGAACCTCTTGAGCTGTCAACACGCCGGCTTGTAAATACAGCGAAACGTTGCTCTCGATTTCGAGATGGGTCAGCCAGCTTCTTAACTGTGGGTGCAGATCACGCTGGGGCATTCCCGTGGTGGAATGTCAGCAGTGTAGCCTGTACTCATCCGCTCGTTCATCGCCTTACACTAGTCTACCTCAGCGACTAGTGAGCGAGGAGGGGCTGCCTCGTGTCGCAGTTTGACTCAAACTCGTGCAGCATGGCAGCTACACGGAACTTTTCGCCAGTTTCACAATCTTGTGTTTAATTCGCGAGTTAATTTCATTTTTTGTTTAATTCGCGAGATTTTGCAATGCCGTCAATTAATTTTGCTACCGAGATGTGATAACCTGACTGCAGTTCCCCTTTGAGCCGAGACCAATGCGACGTGTCCTCTCCCTCCCTCTCTCTCTCTCAGTCCCCTGCTGAGCGACGGCGGTGCAGTGGGCAGTCTGGGCTCGATGCCCACGGCGACGCCCCCGTCAGTTGGCGGCATGCGGAAGTCCTGGCACGAGGACATCACCCAGGACCTGCGCAACCACCTGGTGCACAAGCTGTGAGTCCCAGCAGGGCAGCGCTCTCCCCCTCCCCGAGGCAGCTCACCGGCCGTGTGCGCGTCAGTGTCGCGGAGGGCAGCACCCAGGGGTGTGTCGTCTGAGCCGGGAGCTCCTTCCCGGTCTCGCCGACTCTCAAACGAAGGGGGGAGTTATCAATCTGTCTGCCCTTCGGCGGGGCTGATGTACCGCGCACCGCCAGTACCGGTGTCACTGCGGCGGGGCTGTGAGCTGTTCTCTCGTCCTTGTCCGTCTCCCTCTCCTCTCCTCTCCTCTCCTGTCGCTCCGGATTAACCACCCTCTGCTCCTGTGCCGTGCAGCGTGCAGGCCATCTTCCCCACGCCGGACCCGGCCGCCCTGAAGGACAGGCGCATGGAGAATCTGGTGGCCTACGCCCGCAAGGTGGAGGGGGACATGTACGAGTCCGCCAACAACCGGGTACGTGGGTCCCCGAGACGCGCTTGGGCGGGCGGGGCGCGTGCCGGCGTACAAAGACACGCCGACGACCGCGGCAGAGACCAGCGGCACGCCGCGCACGCAGTGTGCGCAAATGGGAACGGCCTCTGACAGCCGTCTCTGAATCTGGAACTTTGTGTCCTTATGCGCCTATGTCGCTGGCCAGAGGGCAGCAGAGAGCCAAGCGAGACACCAGGATGATTGGTGTGCTTGGCTGTACTCCCGGCCTTACTGAGACAGCGAGTTGTGAAAGTGTCCTGCAGTAGAGGGGGGCTGTAGTCCCAGTAATCCCCCTATCCCCCCGTAACGCCTTTCTGTGAGAGATCGAGCTGCACAAGCAGCTGCTGCCTAAGCACACCGTCATAATCCCCCACTCGCACACCTGTAGATGCAGCAAGAACATTTTTAAAGACCGCTGCCCGAGGTCGTTAAAGGCGCCTTCCCCGCGCGCGCGCTGGGACCACGGAGCAGCGCCCGAAGCCCTCAACCGCGCACTTGTCCTCTCCTTCCCCAGGGGGAGTACTACCACCTCCTGGCCGAGAAGATCTACAAGATCCAGAAGGAGCTGGAGGAGAAGCGGCGCACGAGGCTGCAGAAGCAGGGCATGATGCCCTCCCAGCCCCAGCCCAGCCTGCCCCCCTCCGCCCTGGCGCAGGCGGCCGCGCCCCCCGGCCTCTCGCCCAGTGAGTACCCCCCCCCCACGCCTCTCTTTAGCTAGACGTACCCAAGAACGGGGAGCAGGATTGGCGTTGCGGTCGGGCTTACTCTTCTGCCTCTCTCCCTCTCCCCCCCTCCCCAGACGGCCCTCACTCGGACCCGTCCCTGGTCCGCCCCGCTGGGCCCGGCCAGATGGTGAACAGGATGCAGAACCCCGCAGGTAGGGGGCAGCACGGTGAGCAGTGTCCCGGCGGCCTTGACGAGGAAGCGTGCGTGTGTGTGTGTGGTGAGTCTGTGCCCTGGTGCCGGTGCCTGCCTGCCTGGCTGCGCTGTGCTGCGCAGGTGTGGCTGCGGCTCCCGTGGACGAAGGCTGTGTAATGGGTGCTGGCGTTTCGAAGGGGCGGAAGTTAAGCCATTACTGCCAGTACCACTGCGACAGGGGAGCGAGCTCTCCCTGCATGCTAACTGCCCTCTGCCCGGGTGAGGCCAGGTGTGGCCACCGTGACAGGGGTCGGGTGCCGGCAGGTTTGGGGGGGCGCTATATAACCCGAGCCTCTTGTGTTTCCTTCCAGGGATGAGCCAGTTTGGCCAGATGGGGATGCAGAGCTTGGGCCAGAGGTCCACCCCCCCACTCCAGCATAATGCACCCCTCAACCAGGTGAGGACCCCGGGACAGGAAGTAACTTCTTAAACGTGCTGGGACAGGAAGTGACTTCTTATACGCAGGTCTCGCCAGGGTGGACGTTGTGTGTGCGTGTCCCCCCCCACTCCCTCGGTTCTGAACGCCTGTCTGTGTGCCGTTCTCTTTCAGATGGGCATGGGCCCTCCTCGGATGGGCCAGCCCGGTGTGAACCAGCACCAGAACCAGTACCTGCCCTCGGGACAGTTCCCCGGCTCGGGCCCCGGTGGGCTCGGCGCAGGGCCGGTGGGCTTGGCACAGCCTGGCATCTCTCAGGTAGGCACAGCTGACGGGGAGGCGATGTCGCCGGCGAGCTTGCTGGGGCAATAGGGCAGGATCGGGACTTCCACCTACCTCGGGAGCCCCGGCCAACCTCGTCCGGGTGTTACCTGGCTGCACGATGACTTCGCTCGTTGTAGCGCTCTGATGAAGGGAAACATTAATCCTGGAGCTCCGGAGGAGCTCGCTGATCTTCTCCGCTGTCACCAGACTTAGTGTGACGATAGATGTGTTAATAGTAACCCTTACACTTGTCCAGCTCTCTCCTGCACACTCCAGTCCGGAGCTCTGTACAGGTGATGGGGACTCTTCTCCACCACCAGCGCCTGGATGATGCGACACAGCTGTAGAGGGGGTTGCGGGTTTGAAGTGGTGTGTGTGTGTGTGTGTACCTGGAGTGATCTACATGTCTCTTACTGTTTCTCTCGTTTCTCCCCAGTCTCAGATGCCCACACCTCCGTCTCTCCAAGTGAGCAGTCCGGTGGCGGCGGCTAATTCTGGGGGCTCAGTGGGCTCTCTGGGGCCGGGGAGCGTGGGTGGGGCCCCCACTCCCCAGCCGAACTCCCTCCCCATGTGTGGGCCCCCTCTACCCCAGCCGCCCATGCGGCAGAACTCCCCCTCCCCCGCCCGCAGCCTCACCCCCACCCCGCACCCCACCCCGCCGGGGCTGGGGTCACAGACCCCCCAGCCCCAGACTCCCACTCCGCCGCAGCTCGGCCCCCCGGCCCAGCAGACCCCCCAGCAGCAGCAGCTGCCCCAGGGCACGCCCCAGCCACTGGGGGCGCCGCTGAGCTCGGACAAGCCGGGCCAGATGCAGCAGCAGCAGCAGCAGCACACGGTGTCTACTGCACCCCAGCCTGGGCTGGGCTCCTCCACGCCCACCCCTACCACAGCCCTGCCTCCCCAGCACCCACGAACTCCGGTGAGCCCTGGCACACTTGAGGATTTGGAATCGGTGATCTGTTAGCTACCACCGCGTTTTCTCACCTATCTAAATGTTTAAGAGGGGAGCCTCATCGTTTGTGACTTTTCTCTTGACCTGCAGTCTGGCGTGTCCGTAACTAACCTGTCCTCGTCTCCCTCGCTCTCCAGCTGTCCCAGAAGTCCTCGATCAACGCCGACGGCCAGGTGTCTAACCCGGCCTCGGTCAGCAGTGTGGACGTCGGTTCCCAGCAGCCCCCTGCCGAGGCCTCCAATCACGAGGTGAAGATGGAGGTCAAACAGGAAGAGGAGGAGTCCGAGGGCACGGGGATCAAGAGCGAGATCAAGACGGAGGAGAAACCTGAGGTGAGGGGGGCGCCTTCGAGGATCGCCCGGGGGGGGGTCGTGGACGAAGCCGGAGTGACCCGCAGGTGTAATGGACCCGGGCTCGTGAGCCGATGCAGAATGTGTGGAGACCACAAAAGACGTACCTGCTGTACGCGAGTAGATCCAGGTCCTGCAGCAGTGTTCATTTCTCCTCCCTCTGTCTTTCCCTGCGCCTCCAGATCAAGAAGGAGGAGCCAGCCGGAGGGGAGGGGTGCAAGGCGGAGCCTATGGAGGCGTCGTCAGGGCCTCCGGGGGAGGACAGGAAGGCGGAGCCTAAGGAGGAAGAGGAGGGGTCGGGCTCCCCGGCCACTCACAGCTCCCCTTTCAACGCCCAGAGCAAGAGGAAAAGTACGAGCCGCGCCGCGCCGCCCCGACCCCGAATCTCGAGTCTCGCGCGTCCCGGTCTCGCTCGTGTCGCGTTGTCGGGCTGCGTCAGCCGTTCGTGTGCTCTTCATTGAGTCAGGGTAAAGGGTGACCTCGTCCTTGACGTTTTCCCTGTTTTCCCTTCCCCACGTTCCGTCCCCTCCCTCCCTCCCTCCCTCTCTCTCTCTCTGTCTGTGTCCCAGTCTTTAAGCCGGAGGAGCTGCGGCAGGCCCTGATGCCCACCCTGGAGGCTCTGTACCGCCAGGACCCTGAGTCTCTGCCCTTCCGGCAGCCTGTGGACCCCCAGTTACTGGGAATACCCGTACGTATTCGAGCTAGTAACCGAACTAACCTGGTAAGGGACTGCGCTGGCTTCGTTTGCTCCTCAGAATCCCTCTCTCTCTCTCTCTCCCCTCTGCCCTTCACTCTTTCTCCTTTCCACGGGTGCGAGCGGCGTTGTCTGTGTGGTGGTGGGGTGGGGGGGGTTTCACGTGCGCGTGCGTTGTCCCTGTCCAGCTACCAAAACCCCCCCACCCCTCGTCTCGCCGTCTGTGTGTGCGACTGGGAGCAGCACGTCGCTGGTGTGGAGCGCGTGACCGGCCTGCCCCTGGCTTCCGCACGGCATGAGCTGTGTGTCCGTGTTGACGTGTAGCACGTGGTGGTTGTTGTCGAGTGGGTCGTTGTGCATTAAACGTGTTGGTGTGTGTGTGTGTGTGGAGTGGATTGTGCGGTGATTCGTGTGCTTTGGTTTTCTGTGTGTTCTCCTTTTTTCTAATCCTCCTCTGTCACACATGCTTGTTATTTAATGGAATAATGTAATACTCCCAAAATATTTCTCTCCCGATAACGGCCCCAGGGCATTCTCTGGTAAATTCGCTGTACGCTATACTGTACACAACAGACTCTCAGGATTGGGAACCTTACGAGATGTTATCCTAGTTTTACAAAACAAACCCATCAAGTTTTGTGAGATTCCTGGGTAGAGCAGAGGTTTGATCCATACGTTATTGGAGGTCCACTTCAGTGGGGTGTGTCTTCTGTCCTCTTGGTTTCCTGGTTTGTTTTACACATTCCCAGGGTGCTTTTCCATGTCCCGGAGAACTGCGAGTTCTGTAGCCAAATTCACGATCCCGGGTCACTGTGGCTCGGTTCCCCTGCAAGTGTCTGTGGGTTCCGGGCCAGAGAGCCCGGTTCACCACTGAGTTCTGGGTCGTTTGTTGGGGTAGAGAGACATCACTTGAGATCGCGAAACGGTCCCAGAAAGTGAGAACCAGAATGTAATATTTGTATAGCCTGGAGAGCTTTTAACATGTTACCCAGAAGTTCTCCAGTTTCTGGTACTTCCCAAATGCTCGGAGTGTGTGTTTGTGTGTTCCAAACCCGGATTTTTCACATGACTGGAAGCTGTTCTGGAAGAATCGGATCACAAGTTGGCACCCGGGAAGTGCTGCGGGCCGGAAACCTGTTGAAATATTTTACGGAGTGTTACATTATTTTGTGAGGACTTTTTTTGCGAGCTTTGAAGCTTTCCCAAGCTTTTTAGCTTTGCTTGAATCCGACACCCTCTTTTCGCCTTTTTTTTTTGTCCGTCCCCCCCCCAAAACAAAATCGCACAATGCTTCACCACCCCGCGGTAGTTGCCCGCCCGTCGCCGCGCGTGACGTGGCGTTGGCACCGGGTGCCGGCCTGCCTAGAGCAAAGCCTGCCGAAGCTGGCGCTGGACACAAGGGGGCGCCGGAGAGGCGGCGGCGGAGGCTGCGGCCCCCCCCTCCGGCTCTCCGCCGCAGCACAGGGGGCGAGGACTGAAACACGGGGCTCGGCCGCGGGCCTCCTGTTTGCGCAGACCCCCCCGAGTGAGTGAGTGTGTGCGTGCACGCGCCCCAGTCCTTCCCTGCTCCTCTGTGCTGCGGCAGCGCAGTTGCCGTGTGGATCCGCTCAGGCCCGGAGCCCCCTCCCCCTCTCTCCCCCTCTCTCTCTCTGTCTCGGAGCTGCCGTCGGCTCCAGGAGTGTGTACGGACATGGCGGGGGGGCGCAGGTACCGCTGTATCCGCAGCACGACCTGCCGGGCTCGTCTGCTCCCCGCCCCAGCGCGGGCCGAGGCCGGGCCGTGTGTCTGTGAGCCCAGAGAGAGAGAGGGAGGGGGGCAGTGCCCGTGTCGGACTCCACCCGGCCAGCGGCCTGCCCGCCGGCCTGCCCCCTGGCCAGAGCAGCCGGGAGCCACCCACCCATCCACAGATCCGCGATCCGTGATCCGTGATCCGGCGTCCATGTAGACCGGCAGCGTTCAGGGCACAGAGTCGGCGGAGGGGGGGGGAGTTCAGAATCGTATTGAACAGAAATAAAGGAGGAGAAGATGCCGCAGCCAGTTAAACTCTGAGCTGAAGAGCTGTGAAAGAGGTGGCGTTCCTCAGTGTTGGGGTGGTTGAGAGCCCCCCCAGGACGCCAGCCGAAGGTGCTGTCGACAGTAACGCCCTGCGCGCTCCCGGCGGCCGGCTCGGAGGGCGGGGTGTGGGGTGCGGGCTCTCTGGCGGGCTTCGGCGCGGTTCGCAGGAGGCCGGCTGGCGCGCTGTGGTTCCACCGCCTGGCGCTGCACGCCGGCGGTACGGGGTGAAATATAACCGCGCCGGGGGGGGGGCAGGAGTTGAAGATGACTCCGGCGTGCACCCTGTGAGGCAGGGCGGGGCAGTTGGAATGTGTCGTTGGACATTAATGGCACCATTCTTCGCCAGGAGTGGGGGAGGTTTATTATGGGTTTGGCACGAGGGCTGGACTTCAGCTTTGACCGCCCCCGTTCTGGGTCTCTCTCCGGTCTTCCCAGCCTGTCTCTCTGTCTCTCAGGTTTCCCATTTTCCCTCTCCGATATCTGGCACGCCTTCTCCCTCTTCGTGGACGTGTTCCTGATTTTTAACCTCTGCGTCTTGAGAGTCAGTGTGCCTCTCCTCTCTCGTCAGTCTGGCGTGTTCTCCCGTCTCTTGCTCTTGCATCTTTTCTGCTTCTCTCTCCCTCTCTCCCCCTCTCCCCCTCTCTCTCCCCCCCCCTCTCCCCCTCTCTCTCTGAAGTCAGGCTGAGAAGTGCCGTGAGATCAGTATCTCTGACCTGCACAGCGCCAGGCAGTGGAACCACGCTCGTTGAACCTCGGCTGCGTTCGAGAAATGTCCAGCGCCCCCTCTCGCGATCTGACCCGCTGCTCCACGGCGGTCCGGCGGCGGCTGTGTTTTTTGTTTGTCTGATGCACCCGGCTTGTTGGCGATCGCTGTGTCTCCGCTGTCCTTGCTTGGCAGTACACTGTTAGCCGCGGCGCAGCCAGCGCGTGTCGGTGATTGTGTTCGTCTGAAACCGTCCCAGGCAGTCCTCAACCTTGCTCTGTGTTTTCTCTCTCTTTCTCTCCTCCCTCCCTGCCACCCGGCTCTCCGATTTATCCACGGATTCTCTTTCCTACCCACGGATACGCCCCCCCCCCCCCAACACACGTACTTTTTTGGGAACCAAAACAAAATGTTTGCCCCTTGGCACGCTGCTCTGGGGGTAACGGACTGTGTGGCGGCACGGCACCTCTCGACCGCAGGACTATTTTGACATTGTGAAGAACCCCATGGACCTGTCCACCATCAAGCGCAAGCTGGACACGGGGCAATACCAGGAGCCCTGGCAGTACGTGGATGACATCTGGCTGATGTTCAACAACGCCTGGCTCTACAATCGCAAGACCTCCCGCGTCTACAAGTACTGCTCCAAGCTGGCCGAGGTCTTCGAGCAGGAGATCGACCCCGTCATGCAGGGGCTGGGTTACTGCTGCGGCAGGAAGGTACGGACTCTGTGCTGCACTGGGTGGGGGTAGACACTGTGGGTGCTATAGGGGTGAGGAAGGTATGGACTCTGTGCTGCACTGGGGTGGGGGTAGACACTGTGGGTGCTATAGGGGTGAGGAAGGTACGGGCTCTGTGCTGCACTGGGGTGGGGGTAGACACTGTGGGTGCTGTAGGGGTGAGGAAGGTATGGACTCTGTGCTGCACTGGGTGGGGGTAGACACTG